TTGAGCGCCTGAGTTTCAAGTCCTGCCACCATCATTTAGCTCGGATAGTCGACAGTTCTCTGATTGCTTATATCTGTTTATCCTCGGTTAATTTCAAGGGTTTGGTTGGCTGATTCCCATCACAACGCAGTCAAGCTTGGTGATGATAGGATTATGTGCTGGAATACATGCTGAAAAACCTAGTTGTTCAAGGCATCAGTTCTACCAAAGTTTTCACAACCTGATGTACAATGGTGCTACATGGGGATATGGCCTGTGGAATAGGCATGACGTATAGTGACTATATTTTAAGTTTCCCTGAACAACTGAAAGCGGATTGTTTTCGTTGCAATGGACTTTTTGGTCCTAGTTAAGTTTTGATGGTTTGAATTTGGAACCAGGCTTCTGGTCAAAATGATAACAATAATGAAAAGTTGGCAATTGAGTCAACGAGTGCTGTGATAGAACCGAACTCAAGTTGACCTTGTTCTATGTCCTCGTCACACACACACACACACACACGAATGTCCCGTGAACACTGGATGAATCTAGCTGTACACATAGGCGTGAATATCAGAGGCAGTCCCTCACTTGCTCAGCCATCACCACCGTCATCGTACAAGGTTTAATTGGGTGTGAGTTCGATGCGAAAACCACATTTGTTCACCAGGTTATCCGGTCAGTCTGATGACACGTAACTGGTACTTTTTGCCTGTTCTCAGTAGTCAGCAATCATCGGTGACTAGTAAATTCGATTCACCTTGCAGCTGTTTTACCGATTGGTCTGAAGTGAACCACTCCCTTTCCCTATTGTTCATATCTCCGCGGTTAAATGTGCCATAATTTGTAATTCTCATCCTGTTCCTATTGTATTGTATCGCATCGATACAATTTTGTAAGCAGTCATGCCCATATTTCAGTCAAAAACAATCATGGAACGCCATTGCAGACGGATGAGATCAGCAAGTGGAGTAAGATGATCGCGAAACAACAGCCGTGCACTCGAAACATTTTGCTAAGTTCTGATCAAACCTTGAGTGAATGGAGAATAATTGAGTTTCACTCAAATTATTGGAAATCAAATCGATTTGAAACAAGTGAGCACAGTACAACATCATACTTTATGAATTGAACAGATAAATGAACAAATGAAGGAACAGACAACAACTCATTATTGTAAGGATCGAGCAAATATGGGTAAAGGATTGCACCTTGCAAAACATCAAAGTTATTTATTAATTCACAAGATAGATTCTATCCAACTTTCTAAGTTGAATTCTCGCAGTAAAATAATTTTTCCAGTGGGTAACAAAAAGCCTCTAGTTTAGGGAGAAAAGATGAATGAGGCATCAAACCGAGAGCAGAAAAATAAACAAGAATTATACAACAAACAGATTTAGTTAGTTGAGTGAATCAGAGACTTGGTGATGAATTGGACGACAGGATGTACTGTGTTTCAGCTATGCATATTGGCTAGGGAGAATCATGGGGGCGAGTTCA